GACAGAATTGCAGCAGATACTGCGGAAATAGGATTGTAAGAACCTATTACCGAAGACTTTATGCAAATAAAATGGAAAATCTAGAAGGAATGCTCAAGTTTTTAGACTTGTACAACCCCTAAGACTGAATCAGGAATTAGTTTAAATAGTTCAATGAGAAGTGCTAAATCAAAAGAGTAATGAAAAAGTCTGCCTAAGAGCAAAAGCCCAAAACCAGATGGCTTCTCCCGTGAACTCTACCAAATCTTCAAGGAGGATCTAGTAACTAACCCTACTTAAACTCTTCCAAAACATCAAAAGAGGGAGAAAACACATTCTGTGAGGCCAATATTACCCTGGCCCCCAAACCAAAAACAGTACAAAAAAACTAAAGGAAAAAATTTAAAACCACAGTCTCTGTGAAGAACAAAGATGCACGATTCCTCAAATCAAGAGAATCATCCACCATGACCAAGCAGGCTTCATTCCACGCTGGCAATGCTGGTTCAACATACACAAGTCAGTCAGTGTCATTCACCCAGTCAACAAAGAAGCGGACAAAAATCACATGATTACCTCAATAGATGCAGAAAAGGATTCAACAGGACCCATCATTCATTTGTGATAAAACATTAAAAAAAAAAACAGGAATAAATGGAACTTAGCTAAACATTAAAAGGCCACATCTGACAGACTCACAGCCAATGCCAAACTCAGTGGTCATAAGCCGAAAACGTTCCTGCTTAGGTCAGGAACTAGAAGGATGTCCACTGCCACCACTGTGGACGATACTACTGTCCAACATAGTATTGAAAATCTCTTTTCTCTTATTTGTTAACACATAACCAAGGAATACCGGGGGACACCGAAACGTGCATGTTTTAAAAGGAACTGGCATCCATGTGCATAAAACCAAAGCAGACTTCCAGTGTGAAAGAGCTTGTATAGAATTGTTCCAGCAATGTCCCAGAGAAGTCAGACAGCACTCAGAGAGGTGGAGAAAAAGATCTAGTGGTCACATGGGTGGGCTCAGTGGTATCGCTCCCAAAAGGCTGAGCAATCCCATTGTGCTGAGGTCTATAGCTTGTCATCCATCCATCACAGCATAAGCATTCTTTATTGTCTGGGGAGAGGGTCACGGTAGCCATGGCTACTACTGTGGGCCAGCAGCACACTGCAGGAACTTTCTGCTCCAGCAATCAGCAGAATCAAAGCCACAGATTCCCCCAGGCAGCAGGCCTGGGAAAGTAGCAAAATCTAAGCAGACCTGGGAAACTTCCTCCAAGTATCCTTAGAGGGAGAAGGAAGGATATTCGTATTCCAGTAAAACACTCAAAATTACCCATTCCCTGTGGGTCAGTGCCCTGCCAAACAGGGTCACTGGATGCAGGGCTGCTGAGTCCCCAAAACTTGCTGCAAGTTGAAGGTACCATCTGGTGGGGACCCATGGACTGTGTGATGAAAGGCGTAAAATCAAAGTACAAATTAAGAGAAAAGCTGCCGTTGTCAGCCTTTGCAGGTAGCCTCCCTCAAGTGTCTCTATGTGTCTCTCCTCCACCAGGCTCCTTCCATGTCCCTCAAGTCAAAGGTGCAAATCTAAAGCTAAGAAGCAAGTGCCCTTCTCCATGTGTCTCTTCTCCCGGTGAGACACTGAAGTCCGGTGCCTTCGTTGTTATAGAACTTGACTTGAAGCTTCAGCCCCACCCTCTTTAAGTGGGGGTGGGCCACATGGAACCTCTCCTGAAATTTGTACACTGATTTCTGTTAAAGATCTTTCACACCAGGAGCCTACATTTAATTTGTGCGCATGGATTGGTCTTATGTCTAGTTCTTTAATCCATTTTGAGTTGGTTTTTATGCATGGTACGAGGTAGTAATCTAACTTCATTTTTTTTTTAAATTTATTTATTTATTTGTGCATACAGAACTGGGGTATAGGCCAGAGGCTCAGGGGCGGTGAGAGGTTTCACCAGAGACAGAGTGGGTAGCAGAACAGGCAGATCTAGGAAGTACACTGCTGAGGGAAGCAGTGGGCGGGCCAGGAGAGGTCTGCCGCGCCATGTGGTCACCTCTGGGGCAGGCGGGAATCGAACTCATGCGGAAGCGGCTTCAGATTCTCAATGCTGTGCTTTAACCCGCTGCACCACCAGGGAGGGCCCTAACTTCATTTTTTTGCACATACATAGCCGCCCAGTTTCCCCAGCACCGTTTGTTGAACAAACTTTCTTTGTTCCATTGCATATTCTTTGCTCATTTGTCAAAGATTAGCTGTCCAGAAAGCTGTGGGTTATATCTGGGTTTTCTATTCAAATCCATTGGTCTGTATGTCTATTCTTGTTCCAGAACCATGTAGTTTTGATTGTGATGGCTTTGTAGCTAAGTTTGAAGTCTGGGAATGTGATGCCTCCATTCTCTTTCATTTTAGTCAGGGGAGTTTTGGCTGATCAAGGTTTTTTTGTGGTTCTATGTAAATCTCATCAATATTTGTTCTATTTCTTTGAAGAATGTCATTGAGATTTTTATTGGAATAGCATTAAATCTATAAATTGCTTTTGGTAGAATGGCCATTTTAATGGTGTTAATTCTTCTGATCCATGAGCAGGGGATATCTTTCCATTTCTTTGTGTCTTCTTGTATTTCTTTTAACAGTGTTTTATAATTTTCTTTGTATAGGTGTTTTACCTCTTTTGTTAGATTTATTCCTAAGTATTTGATTTTTCTGTTTCAATTATAAAGGGGATGGCTTTTTTGATACCCACTTCTGATTTATTGTTTGTATAGGAAGGCTACTGACTTTTGTGTGTTGATTTTATATCATGCTACCTTACTAAACTGGTTAATTGTTTTGATTAGTTTATGGAGTTTTTAGGGTTTTCTATGTAAATTAACATATCATCTGCAAATATAGTTTTACTTTTTCTTTCCCTATTTGGATTCCTTGTATGTCTTTTTTCTGTCCTATTGCTGTGGCTGGAACTTCTAGTGTGATGTTGAAGAGCAGTGGCGATAGTGGACACCCTTGTCTTGTCTCTGATCTCCAAGGAAAGGCTTTCAGCTTTTCTCCATTGAGAATATTGGCTGTGGGTTTGTCATAAATGGCTTTCATCATGTTGAGGTATGTTTCTTCGGATAATAGTAAAGTTTTTTTTGGTAAGTAAATAGTTAATTAATTTTTAAAAATAATATGATAGTTTATGTTTACATCATTTTATGCCTTTTCCCATCTCAGTTGTCATCCCCATGGACTTCCATCACCAAATCACCCGTGTGCCATCACCATAGTCCAGTGCACTTCCCCCCCAGGTCTTTTTATTTATATTTTTTTACATCATTCTTCATTTTGTGCATTTTCCATCTCAGTTGTAATCCCCATGCCCCCTCCCCCAGTTTTTGATCCCATTCCGCACTCCACCTTTGGTAAAATGTCTCTGGTATATAGTTGTTCATTATTATTATTATTTTCTGCCCCAGTACTTTATACTCCTGCTATAAGTAAACCATCCAGTATTTTTCTTTTTCTTCCTGGCTTATTTCACTAAGCACGATCCCTTCCAGCTCCATCCATGTTGCTGTAAAAGGCAGGTGTTTATCTTTTTTGGTTGCTGAGTAATATTCCATTGTGTATATGTACCACATCTTTTTAATCCAGTCATCTATGATAATAGTAAAGTTCTAACTGTTCTAACACATCAGAGGTTCTGAGACACAGTTGGTCTCTGACCCTTCCAGAAGGTTCTCTGTGTAGCTTTTCCCAGCAAGTAAGATCTGTCGTAGGGATTGGTATAGAGAGCAGAACGGAAAGCTTTACCTCTTGGTCTCTCTTTTATGAAGACCGTTATGACATCATCATCTTCTTCACCTACAGTATCACCATTAGGACTTCCCACACCCATCCTCACTTACACTCACAACCCAGTGCAAGGAGATTTGATTCTCACTCCCCTCATCCTGGCTCTCCCTTCAGGGTCAGCCACTGAGGGTTGACCCATCTCCCTGTACCCACTTCCTGGACTTCCTTTGGCTTTGATTATTCAGATGTGAAGATAGTCAAAGATGTGGAGCCACTCTGAGAACTGCTAGGGTCCCTGGAGGGGACTTCAGAGATTTAGAAGAAAAACAAAACACATTTCTCAAGACTGTAGCTGCTTCTGTAATCCCCTCTTGCCCTTCATACCACCGTGGTGCCTGCTTAGAGACTTAGGGAAGTGTCAAACCCTGTAGTGATGGCCAAGGCCAGGTTTTTAAAAAGCCCAATTTTTTCTTCCTAGATTTTTGAGTTGAAGAAACCAAAACTTCCAAATATTTTGAGAATATTTTCCACTGTAGAGTCTTCAGAATCTCTTTCCTGGTCACGTCTGGCTTACCTGTCAATCTCCATGTTGCTATATAAAGATTAGGTCAGAAGTCTCTTTTCTATTTGGGCCTAAACAGGATGGACACATTTGGCATACATCGCTGCCGTTTAAATTTCCTGCACTTTTGAATATAAGTGTTCAGAGTAATCAGTAGAAAGAGAACAAACAGCTGTTTCCCTTCACCTCCTTATACCATCTTCTCTTTCTTTAGTTTCTCATTTCCTGAAATTGCCCTCCTTATAAAAGGATAATCTTGATAAAACAGCATGGACTAAGTAACTTCTTAGCAGGTTATTTGTGCCTCCATTGAGAAGTGGGGTTTGTGATGTTTTTCTTCTATTTTCATGTGCTTTTAGATTTTTCAACTGAGCATGAATCACTTTTATGACCAGAAATGCTCGTATTTGTTGTTGCCTTTTTGAGAAGCAAAAACATATAAGGACCCCGAGAGAGCTGAATGGGAGGGTCCCGAGGGCTCCCTCAGCAGATCCCGACACCCGCCCCACTAAGTGTTTTTGGGTGGCCCAGGGAAAGGGCTAGAGCACTTTTGAGGAAAAGAAAATACTGATGATCTGGTGAGGGTGCCAGGAAGCGAGGTAGCTGAGAGGGGACGAGCGACAGGACTCCGGACACAGTCAGGGCCTGGGAAAGCACACCGCCAACCCAGTCGCTGCAGACAATTTTAATTTGAGGCTGTGATGAGTTCAAAGCTGGGGAGACGCAGGGTGAGGAGAAATCCCATCGGTCAGAAGGAGGGGACATCCCTGCCCACGTGCCGTGGCCTGAATGCACCCAAGGGCCCGGCACAGGGAGGCTCTGGTAGGGTCTGACCCAGGGGGCTTTGGGACCCCCCATCATGGAGACGCCCCTCCTTCGGGCGAGGCGAGGGTTCTGGTCTCACCCTGTCTTCAGCGAGCCTAGCAGAGATCAAGGGCGTTAGGAAGAGCAGCACTAGCTGGGGAGGGAGCTGCCCAGATGGCCTCCGCTGGACACAAGAGGCTGCGAACGGGGTTCTGAGAGGCCCGTTGCCAGGCCCTGCTTGCTTTCACCTTCAGGACGGAGGACAGGTGGATGTCAGGGCCGGGGGGGGGGGAGGGGGGCGGGGGGGGCCTTTCCAGGGAGGGAACCATCTCCCTTCCAGGATTTTCCTTCGGAATAGGGTAGGGGAAAACTTGGCGTTTTGTGATCAGGAAGTTGGGGAAATAAGCTTTTGTTCCCCGATGTTCAAAGACACCTGCACACGTGCACACGCACACACGTGTGCACACACACCTGCTTGGGCATTACAGTATGGGTTGGTCTCGGAGAGGCTGGGCAGGAGGGCACGGGGAACAGAGCCGGACCGTCTAAGCGTGATGTCCAGGAGGGGGCAGGCCGGCTGCCGCTGCCCGGCCGGGGCCGCTCAGCTAGACAGCTTCAGGAACTCGAGGATGTCGGACTTGACAGAGCTGACCGGAGCTTGGTGGAACCAGCGCATGACAGGCACGCCGTTGGGCCCCACCAAGAACTTCTCGAAGTTCCAGCGGATGTCGTGGACCCTCATGGGCTCCCAGAAGAGCCGGTCTGACGAGCCCAACAAGTCCGAAGTGGGAGGGCAGGAATTCTGGAGCAGAGATGTGGAGAAGAGGACACGCTTTGGGCTGCTCTGTGTGGCCAGTCTTGGCCCCGCCCCAGACGGTGTCCTCACTGGTGTACGTTGACTATCTGACCTGCTGCGGGGCATCCTGACCCACTGGAGGGGGTGTGCCAGTCAGCACCTCCTCGCTGTCTGCCCCACACCCATAGTCCCTCAGAAAAGAATGGCCTTCTGCTGTCGTCTGTACTCAGAGCTGTTGAACGGCTATCCTGGGTTGCACGGTTTTTCTACATGAGGCTAACAGCTCACAGCAGAGTGTGCCACGGCCCTTGAACCTACCTGAACGCTTCTCTCCAAGGTGTCAGCCCAGACGCCACCCCAGACTCGAGCCCTATGACTTCAGGCCTCTCCCTCGCCTGACCGGACCCACACACACTCTGTTTGTGCACACTGACCTTTAGGAAGGTGAAGACCTTCTGTTCTTTGTCCCCATTCACATCCCCTTTCTCAAAGAGCTGAAAATTGGGGACAAAGCCCCCACCGGGACGCACATACCTGCAACAAACCAGAACATTCTAAGAGGATCCACACGAGACCAGCCTGGCTAGTAAAGGCCACCACGGCCTCCAAAAAAGGACCAGAGCTGAAGTGGAGAAGGAGCTAGACAGGGAAGGCCACAAGAGAAAGGTTCCTGGTACCCAGGAGCTGGCTTAGAGGCTTGACGGAGCCAAAGAGAACTCCAAGAAAACTAGAAGCCATAATTTTTAAAAAGATTTATTTATTTATACACAGAAGAACTGGGGTGCAGACCAGAACTGCGGGGTGTGAGCGGATGCCCCAGAGACAGAGTGGGGAGCAGAACAGGCAGATGGACGAAACACACTGCTGAGGGGAGCAGCGGGCGGGTCAGGAGAGGTCTGCTGTGCCCTGTGGGTCACCTCCCTGGTGGGCTCGAACTCCTGCTACAGAGGCCTTGGCGAGCTTCATAGTGCTGTGCTCTAACGTTGCACTTAGCCTGTTGCACCACCAGGGAGGGCCCAGAAGCAGTAACTAAGAAGTGCTTAAATTATTCCTGACCCATCCCCATTTCCTAAACTCCTCCTTTCCCCTAAGCTTCTTTTCTGTCACGTGTTTGCCTCGGCTGGACATCAAAGAACTCAGACAGGCCCCTGGCGCTCGCCAGCAGGGAAAGGCTGGACCCAACGCTTCACGATGACGTGCCTGAGCTCACTGTCTGCTCTCCACCCCAGAAGTTTCCTGAGTGGAGGGCATCTGGGCAGAACGGGGAGGGAAAATCCTGACAGGGCCAGTGCAGGGCCCGAGCCGGCACTCACTTGAGCCCAGAGAGGATCTCTGAGTTCTTTCCTGGTTCCTGTTTTCCAAACTGGTTGCAGGGAAAGCCCAGCACCACGACACCGAAAGGCTTCAGCTGCTCCTGTAGTGCATTCAGCTCTGCAGCAGAGAGAGGCCAGTGTGGGCCAGTGGCCGCAGCCTGCAGGAATTAACTGAAGACTGTGGAGGACAGTGTGCAGGAACTAAATGCAGATAGCTGCCACTTTCCCTGCAGCGGGTCCCGCCAGTGGCTCCACCTCCCTTTAAAAAGCACAGACCGGGAGGCCTGTTTGATTCTGAGGAGAGTCAGACCCAAACGCCTTCCTGAGTGCAGGACTGAAGGATGTAAAAAAATGGTGAGGAAAATGCGACGTGGGCGTGCCACCCTGCCCCACCTCTGCCAGTATCCATGAGCCGGACCCGGGGAGACTGGAACACGCCCCGGAAAAGCCAGCCCCGACCGACCGACCGACCGACCGCGGCGCTCTCACCCACATACTGCGGCGTCAAGCCTCAGTACGTGGCCACGTTGACGAAGAGCACGTGCTTGCCCGCGAACTGCCTGAACTGGATGTACTCCTCGCCGTTGAGCGTGAGGGCGCCGTACTCGTAGATGGTGCCGGTCACCCCCTTATAGCAGTCCACCTGCAAGGCAACGGGAGGCCTGCGATGGGGAGCGCGCAGGCCCAGCCCTGCGCTTGCCAAAGAACCGCCTAGCCCGCTGCCCTTCCTCTGGGCCGCGCCCGGCCTCCGAGCCACCCGCCTGCCCCACCCGGCCCCTCTCCAGCTGCTCCGCGTCCTCTTCCTCAGGATCCACAGGGTGGCCCCAATGTCCGGCCCAGGACGGAGGGGCCAGGCTCGGGCCTCCGGGGAGCGGCTGGGCGCGAGGGTGTGGGAGGGCGCCGCTGGGCCCACCCCGTCGGGCAGCGCCCGGTGGCCAGGCGTGCAGGAAAGGGAATATCCCCGGGGGTGCAGCGCCCCC